GGTCTATTCAAAATTTCTACCTCAATCTGTGTTAGCTTATATAAGTTGTGTGCTTCTAGAAGTCTGTCCATTTTTTCTGGGCTTTCATATTTGTTGGAGTACAATTCTTCATAGTATACTATCCACTTTATTTTATTTACTTCTGTTATGATGTTGCTATATCATTTATTATTCATGGTATTTGCATGTTCTTCTTCTTCTTTGCTTTTTTAAATTTGCCCATAGTTTATCAATTCTATCAATCTTTTCAAGGAACCAACTTCTAATCTTGTTGATTCTATTCTTTTTCTGTTTCATTTATTTCTGTTCAAATCTTTATTTCTTTTCTTCTAGTGACTTTAGGCTTTCTTTGCTGCTCTTTTTCTAACTGTTGGAGACATTGGGTTAGGGTGTTGATTTTGGCTCTTTCTTCTTTTTTTGATATGTGCATTCATTGCTATAAATTGCCTTCTGATCACTGCTTTTGCTGTGTCCCAAGGATTTTGGAATGTTGTGTTTTCATTCTCACGTGATTCAAGGAATTTTTTATTTTCCTTTTTTTAATTTATTCCATTACCCAGTAGTTTTTAAGGAGGGTGTTTACTCTGTTTCCATGTCTTTGCTCTTTTTCAGTTGATATCTTTCTGGGGTTGATTTCTAATTTTATAGCATTGTGATCTGAGAAGATACTTTCCAATATTTCCAGTTGTTATAATGAAATGTACAAATACCTGGAGTTAGGAAACCAAAAATGAAGAACACACTCAGCATTTCTTAAGTTGAAAGAACTGAAGAAAAAATTTAAGCCTCAAGTTGTAATATTGGAATATCCTATGGGCAATATGGGAGCTCTGGTGGCATAGTGCCTAAAGCATTTGACTGCTAACCAGAAGGCTGGCAGTTCAATCCCACCAGTCACTACTCAGAAGACAGATTCGGCAGTCTACTTCCATAGAGATATCTCGGAAACCTAAGGAGGGGTCTCTGTGAGTTGGAACTGACTCGATGGCAGTGAGTTTTGGTTTTGGTTATGGGCAATATAATGAATGATGCAGAAAGCATCAAAAGAAGAGGGAAGGAATACACAGAGGCACTATAGCAAAAAGAATTGGTCAGTGTTCATCCATTTCTGGAGGTGGCATATGATCAAGAACCAAGATATTCAAGGCCAGCCACTCAGAAAGGGATCAAAACTGGAGATCCTGGGTAGAGTGGGAGGAAAAACATGGAATAAAATTCAAAAACACAATAATGACCAGAGTTACTGGTCAGATGGAGTCTGGTGGGACCCCCAAGACTATGGCCCTGGAATACACTTCAGGCCTGGAATAAAACTTACTCCCAAGGGCTGTCTCTCAGCCCAACAGTAGTAAGACTTACATGCAAAACACCCAACCCAGGAGGATACACCCACCTACTCCATAGAGATACATCCTTTGGAGCAATCAGCCATGGGGCACCAGAGGAGCAACATTCACATGGAGAAAAAGCTGGACAGACAGGAGTGCATAATTAAGAAGAGTACAGGGATGGGGGTCACTGAGAAGGGAGAGGAGGAGAGTGGGTCAGGGTTGGGGAGTGAAACCATATGAACACGAACTGTATATAAAATAAATTCTGCTCAGTAACTTTGCACCCAAAGCCCAATTAAACACACACACACACACACACACACACGCAGTGGTATTGAAGGATGAAACCAAAGCTGCACTGAAGGAAGTGGCAAAAAACAAAGCTCTGGGAATGGATGGAATACCCATTGAGGTGTTTCAACAAACAGATGCTATGTTGGAGGTGCTCACTTGGCTATACCAAAAGATGTGGAAGAAAACTACCTGGCCAGCTGACTAGAAGAGATCCATATTTGTACTCATTCCAAAGAAAGGTGATCCCACAGAATGTGGACATTATCGAATAATATCATTAATATTGCACACAAGTAAAATCTTGCTGAAGATAATTCAAAAAATGATTGCAGCAGTATATTGACAGAGAACTTCCAGAAATGCAAGCTGAATTCAGAAGAGGACATGGAATGAGGGATTTCATTGCTGATATCAAACGGATCTTGGCTGAAAGCAAAGAATACCAGAAAGATGTTTACTTGTGTTTTATTGACTATGTAAAAGCATTTGATTTTGTGGATCATAACAACTTATGGATAACATTGAGAAGAATGGGAATTCCAGAACACTTAATTGTACTCATGAGGAACCCATACACAGACCAGGAGGCTGTCATTCAAACAGAACAAGGGGACATTGCATGGTTTAAAATCAGGAAGGGAGTGTGTCAGGGTTGTATCTTTCACCATACATATTCACTCTATATGCTGAACAAATAATATGGGAAGCTGGACTATATGAAGAAGAGCATGACATCAGGATTGGAGGAAGATTCATTAGCAACCTGCGATATGCAGATGACACAACTTTGCTTGCTGAAAGTGACGATGACTTGAAGCACTTACTGGTAAAGATTGAAGACTACAGTCTGCAATATGGATTACACCTCAATATAAAGAAAACAAAAATCCTTACAACTGGACCTTTAAGCAGCATCATAATAAATGGAGAAAAGTTTGAAGTTGTCGAAGACTTCATATTACTTGGTTTTACAATCAACACCAATAGAAATGACAGTCAAGGCATCAGACAACATATTGCACTAGGCAAATCTACTGCAAAACACCTCTTTCAAGTGCTGATGAGCAAAGATGTCTCTTTGAAGACTAAGATGCACCTAACCCAAGCCATGGTATTTTTAATTGCCTCATATTCATGTGAGAGCTAGAACATCAAAGGAACATCAAAGAAGAGTAGATGCTGTTGAGTTGTGGTGTTGGTGAAGAATACTGAAAGTATCATGGAGTGCTAAAAGAACTAACAAATCTGTCTTGGAAGAAGTTCAGCCAGAATATTTTTTGGAAGGGAGAATGGCCAGACTTCGTCTCACCTACTTTGGTCATGTTTTCAGAAAGGACCATTCCCTGGAGAAAGATATCATGGTTGGTAAAGTGGAGGATCAAGGAAAAAGGGGAAGGCTCTCAACATGATGGGCTCAGGTATAGCAAGGATCCTGGGACTGGCGCAGGACCAGGCAGTGTTTCGTTCTGTTGTGTGTGTGTGTATATATATATATGGTCACTAAAACTCAGAGAGGAGCTCTGGTAGCATAGTGCCTAAGGCACTTGACTGCTAACCAGAAGGCTGGTGGTTCAAACCCACCAGCCACTCCTCAGAAGGAAGGTTGGGCAATCTACTTCCATAGTGATAATGCAACCCAAGGATGGGTCGCTATGAGTCGGGTCCGACTTGACAGCACATAACAACAACAACATAACTCATAGACAACTCAGTGGCATCTAACAACAACTCCTCCTTCTGATTTTGATGCAAATGTTTGTTATTTTTCTTTGAGATTATCCTGTGATTTATAATTTTCTTCCCAATTTTAGCACATTCTGTTCTATCTCACAATTGTATTGACTTCCTCGCCATTTGAAAGTTCTGTACCTATACTATTTATTCCCACTTTTTGGTTTGTAGTTGTTCTTATTTACCAGTTGGTGTCTATGGTTCCCTGCTTACAGTCCTGTAAGTTTATTTTACTTAAGTTACTTCTATCACTGAGTTAGTTTCTGTGTTATGTCATCTTGTGTGTTAATCATTGGTTATTGTTTGCTTTGGTTGGTTCCCTTTCCAAAGGACTCCCTTAACATCTTTTGTAAGGTTGGTCTGGTTTTCAAGCATTCCTTTAATTTTTGTTTATCTGGAAATGTCCTAATTTCACCATATTTGAAGGATAATTTTGCTGGGTATATAATACTTTGTTGGCAATTTTTTTCTTTGTGGGTTTTATATATATATCATCCTATTACCTTTTCACCTGCATGGTTTCTGCCAGGAAATCATGACTTAATGTTATTGGCTGCTCTTTGTAGGTAACTTTTTGTTTTTTCAGTGGTGCTTAAAGATTCTTTTTTTGTTTCTGGTTTTGATGAGTTTGATTATAATATGTCTTAGTGAGTTTCTTTTGGTGTGTATCCTGTTTGGGGTTTGTTGAATTTCTTGAATGGATATGTTCTCATATTTCTTTATATTAGGGAAATTCTCTTCCAAGAAATCTTCAACAATTCTCTTTATGGTTTTGTCTCTTTATGTTCTAGAATTCCAATTACACATTAAATTATTCCTCTTGATGATATCCCACATAAATCTTAGGCTTTCTTCGTTTTGTTTTTATCTTTTTTCTGACTGACCCCTTAACAAAGTACTATTCAGGTATTTAATTTCAGTCTCCCTAACTCTGTCTTCCATTGATTCAATTCTACTCCTTTCCCCATTCAATGTTACCTATTTCTGAAATCTTAGTATTACTGTTCTTGATTTCTATTTGTTCTTTTTGTGTAGTTTCTAATTTTTTTGTGTATTTTTTAAGTTTGTTCTTGTATTATTTCCCTTAATTGTTCTAGAATTTTTCTTTCTTTTCCTTAATTTTGTCAGTGTTTCCCTTGATCTGTCTTTCAGTCTCTTGTGTTGTTGTTGTTGTTGTTATTTGCCATTGAGTCGGACCCAACTCATAGCGACCCCTCCTTGGGTTTCTGAGATGGTATCACTACAGAAGTAGATTGCCCAGCCTTCCTTCTGAGGAGTAGCTGGTGGGGTTGAACTGCTAGCCTTCTGGTTAGCAGTCAAGTGCCTTAGGCACTATGCTGCCAGATTTATGTTGTGTTGTTGTTGTTATGTGCCGTCGAGTCGGCCCCAACTCATAGCGACCCCTCCTTGGGTTTCTGAGGCAGTATCACTACGGAAGTAGGATTGCTCAACCTTCCTTCCGAGGA